AAGTAGAGTAGGGTGATAATAAACTCCCTCAAGTCGATGTGGAGGGATCCTCCATGGTCTGTGGAGGAGCATTAGAAGCAGTGGTCTGGAAAGCCGGGACGATAGTAGCAGCAACAACTGAGTGAGGATTCGAAGCATCCACGACATCTATCATGGCCCCTCTGGCATAACAATAGCATCTTCATGAATAGGGGGCTCGGTCACAGTCCTATCGTCACCAGGTGGAGCTGAGTCTGTAGCATGTGGCACAGTGGTATCAGTGGGCATGGTGGATGGAGACTCCAGGACTATAGGAGGAACAAAAGTGGATGGTCCAGTAGCGGATGGTGCAAGCAACTATGAAATATCTATATATGTACGTTGGACCAAAGCACGGAGGACTAGTGATACCTCCCTTATCATCGTAGCCCGCTCAGCCTGGACTCGGCTCAGTTTTGCATGAGTCTGAATCAACTCACCTCTAGTGGCACTCAACTCTGCACGAGCCATGATCAACTCAGCCATGTTCTCTTGCATATCAGCTCTCATATGTTCAAACAACTGTTGAATGGTAAACTTAGAAGATCTCCCCTTGTTTGGCTCTAGTACATGAGTAACATCATATGGTCCTGGAGCTTTAGCCTCGATGTCATCATTCTCCTTGTCCCATAGCACTCCCATCTCTGTCAAGTAAGACGATAAGGTATTTGCATAGAACAACCTCCACTTGTAGTTCATCCTGTGCACTGCATCTAGTCATGTATGATAGTTCCCAAGTTGAGCGGGATCCCCTCCAATAAAGCATACAACACTAGTGCTCGGTATCGAGGGACATGCGTTTTGTGTTGGCACGACATCAGGTGATTGCATATGAAATTCAGTACCACACGCGCTAATGCGCTCATGAATTCTTTGGCCAGAGAATGGTACTCTACACTTCCACACTTCTAATTTGCAACTTTCCTGGTAGGGCATAGGGCGGACTGAATATGTGAGTAATCACGCTCTTTGCATATACAGTCATACCTGTCCGTTGATGTATGGCACCCCTAAGAACCTGTTCAGAGCTTCAGCCGAGACATTGATATCCACCCCTCGTACTCTCACAATGCTACCCCGTAAATGACGCCAATTGGCATAAAGTTCTCTAACAATAGTAAGGTTGGCCTTGCTGTGGCCCTTCAAGATAGGTCCCCATTGTTGCACCTCTCGAATTGATTTAAGAAGATCTGGGTAATTTTTCTTTAGTGCTCTAATATTTATTGGCTTTTCCAGAATATATTTCTTTGAATCTAGGATTTCCTCATAAGCCCAGAATGCTTTTTCACTAAAAAAATTCTTGTCCCAAGCACCTCGGTCAATTGGTTCACCCTCATCTTAATTGCTCATGTTGACATTTGTGAGCTCATAGTCCGAATCAGAATCAAACTCAGATTCTGAGGTAGCCTTATGCTTCCCTTTATTGTTTGGATCAACCTGCTTGGTGTATTTGGTCTGGTGCACCACAAGTTCTCTGAACTCTATCCCATTGCTTGGTGCTCTTACTGATGTTTTTGTGGCACCCTTTTTCACAGTCCTCCTCACTAATGGTTCCTCTTCTTCTTGCTCCTACTCATCAATTAATTGCCTAGTCGGCGTTGCCTTTGCTTTCTCAGTCCGCTTTCTTTTATTCTGTGGGTTTGGAGCACCTGCTGCCTTTCCAGTAGGGTTTTTAGGTGGTTGCTTGTCATTATCTCTTTCTTGTTGCTTGGACGTTTTACTCGTTGCTGCCATTGTGAACCTATGTACCTACAAAACAAAGAATTCAATAATTAGTTGGAAGAACATTGAAGTTTTAGATGTGAAGCACATGTGCACAAGTGTGCACTTCCAATCATCCGCACGATTATGCCATTCAATACTTCATTCAAACATAGCCCATGGATTTTAGCAGGAATCAACTAACTGGTAGTACACGAGTGAGCAATGCACTTATAGACATCATTATGCACAACAAGAGATAGATTCAAGTGTTTCTCAAAGCATGTTCTTTTACATACAACAACTCACCTTGAATTTACTCAGCTATATCATCATAAACTTCTCGCAACCCCACACTTAACCTCAAGACATACCAATACGCATTGAGCGCACAAAATTCAAATTGAAGTAACACTTTACAATACAAGCAGTCAAGCAATGTGCTGTATGTTCAGCTTATTAGGACATTCTACCACAGGCTCGAAACACTCCAATTTTATAGATATTGTAGCAGCTTAAGTTCATTTAATTCAGCCCCGGACATGGTCACTCAGAAGCTTAACTGTCATTATATACCTCAAAACAAGATTTAAAGGAGTGACGAGCACCCGTAGCTCCACCACTCTGACAAGCCTGTACACAATCAATCAAATGACCCAACACTTATTCCCTAGCATATACTCGTGTCGCTCGGTTACTCAGACTCGATGCCTAAATTTACCTCTCAGGCATTTTGTCGAACAAGTAAAATGCATGAATTTTGCCCATTTTCTTCCAACAACTGGACAACTTCACCACCCTCCCAAATTTAATGAGATGAAGGGAATTCTAGTTTATCATCTCTCAAACATCACAACCAACAAGAACGATAACCACACGCCTCAAACTTTTTCAGTTCCCCTCTTAGTCTCATGTGTAATATTCAAATTGGTAAGACCTAACCTAGGGGAATTTGGGGTGGGGATTCTGCTGCTACCAGTGAGAGAGAGAAGATATGAGAATTGAGAGAGAGAATAAGGCGAAGGAATTACCTAACCGTATGATCAATTCGAGCAGTAGTAGTGAGAGGAGATGTGCGAGGAAGAGTGTTTGAGTTGAGTGGAAACGGGTGGGAGAAGGATTTGGGGTTATTAGATGTGAAGTGTAATAAAAATATAAACTTGTTGTGTGCGAGCTTGGACGTGATGCATCCCAGCTGATTTCGTTAATTGTTTCACAGATGCGGACCTTTGCGCGATGGACTCACTTCACTTCCTTGAGCAGTTGGCCCGTCAATATTTTATGCGGAGGGGGATGCACGCATCCACCCTTTTTTCCACTACCTGGAGTTTTTTTTTAATTAAAATAAATTACATAAGAGAATTAACTCCTACAAAATCAAAAAAAAATCAAAAATACACAACGAACGGGAAAAGTTAGTAAACTATGAAAACAAAACAAAATGCTTGGGTTGCCTCCCAAGAAGCGCCCGATTTAACGTCGCGGTACGATGCAACATGTTCTTCAAGCATCGGCCAAGTCCATTGAGGTCTTGTGATGTGCAATTTCACCACCCCAATAATGTTTTACTCTCTACCTATTTACCAAGAATGTACCACTTGAACTCGTATCACGCAATTCCACCGCTCCATGAGGCTTCACACTAACCACTTCAAAAGGTCCTGCCTATCGAGACTTAAGCTTTCCGGGGAAGAGCTTCAACCTCGAATTAAACAAGAGAACTTCTTGACTTGGCTCAAACTCGCGATATTAGATGTGCTTATCATGCCACCTCTTGGTCCTTTCTTTATACAATTTGGCATTTTCGTATGCGTGCAATCAAAACTCATCAAGCTTGTTGAGCTGTTACAACCTCTTCTCGCCGGCTAAGTTTATATCCATATTTAGCTTTTTAATCGCCCAATAGGCTTTGTGTTCAAGCTCGACGAGCAAGTGACACGCCTTCCCATAAACCAACTTATACGGAGATGTTCCAATAGGGGTCTTGTATGCAGTTCAATACGCCCATAATGCATCGTCATGCTTTCCGGCCCAGTCCTTCGTATTTCCACTTACCGTTTTATCCAGAATTTGCTTCACCTCTATGTTTGACACTTCCACTTGACCACTCGTTTGGGGATGATAGGCAGTGACAACCTTGTGCTTAGCTCCATACTTTTCTAGAACGTTGTTCAACAACTTGTTACAAAAGTGAGTTCCTCCGTCACTTATCAGCACCCTTGGAGTCCCAAAGCGTGTGAAGATGTGCTTTTTACAAAGTTTACAACTACCTTTGCATCATTAGTAGGAAGAGAAATGGCCTCCACCCACTTAGACACATAGTCGACCGCTAACAATATGTATCTGTGACCATTAGAGTATGGGAACACTCCAATGAAATCAATCCCCCAAACATCAAAAATCTCTACTGCCAAAATATTTTGCAAAGGCATCTCATGCTTCTTCGTGATTGTTCCGGTTCTTTGGCACCTGTCACACTGTTTAACAAAGGCGTGTGCATCCTTAAATAATTTTGGCCAATAGAAACTCGATTGCAGCACTTTTTGGGCGGTTCTATCCCCACCGTGATGACCTCCATATGGAGAAGCGTTACAGTCGTGCAAGATTGCATTCATCTCCTTCTCAGGAACACACTTTTGTACTAACTGATCTGTGCACTGCTTATACAGTAATGGCTCATCCCACAAGTAGAGCCTCATATCATGTAGAAATCTTCTTCTATTATCGGGTGTCAATTCTGTTGGCATCACCCCACTTGCAATAAAATTCACGTAGTCTGCATACCACAGGGCTTCACTCGAGGTGATTGCCGATAATTGCTCATCCGAAAATGTTTTCTTAATCGAACCTCCCTTATCTACATGGATCCGATTTTTTAATCTGGACAAGTGATCAGCCACTTGATTCTCTATTCCTTTTCGATCTCGGATCTCTAAGTCAAATTCTTGCAAAAAGAGGACCCAACAAATCATCCTCGGTTTGGCATCTCTCTTTTCAAACAGATACCTTATAGCTGAGTGATCGGTGTAGACGATGACTTTGGTTCCCACTAGATAAGAGCTAAATTTGTCAAACACCCACACCACTGCAAGCAACTCTTTTTTAGTAACGGTGTAGTTCATCTGAGCTAGATTTAGAGTTTTGCTAGCGTAGTAAATGGAGTGAAATTTTTTATTCTTCCTTTGCCCCAAAATAACTCCTATTTTGTCATCACTCGCATCGCACATCAACTCAAATGTCTGCGCCCAGTCCAAGGCAATGATAATTGGTGCAGTCACCAATCATTTCTTCAGCTTCTCAAATGCTTTCAGACAAGCACCATCATATTTGAAAGGGATATCTTTCTCAAGAAGACTGCATATAGGTGAAGAAAATTTTGAAAAATCTTTAATGAAGCGATGATAAAAACTTGCATGGCCCAAGAAACTATGAATGCCCTTAACGGATGTTGGTGGGGGAAATTTCTCAATCGCCTTCACCTTTGCCTTGTCCACCTGCAGACCATTTTTGGACACCTTGTTCCCCAAGACTATATCTTCTCGTACCATGAAATGGAACTTCATTAAACAATTATCAAAAGAACACCCAAACACAGAAAGATCATCCATGAACACTTCTACAAATCTTTCAACCATGTCAGTAAAAATATCCATCATACACCTTTTAAAAGTCGCAGGTGCATTATAGAAACCAAATGGCATTCTCTTGAATGCATACGTGCCATAAGGACACGTAAATGTGGTCTTCTCTTGGTTCTCTAGGGCTATAACAATCTCATTATACCCCAAATAGTCATCCAGGAAATAATAGTATTCATGTCCAGCTAGTCTATCAAGCATTCAGTCAATAAATGGTAGGGGGAAGTGGTGTTTGCGGGTAGAATTATTTAATTTTCTATAATCTATGTAAATTCTCCACCCAATGACAGTTCTTGTCGGAATCAAGTCATTATTTTCATTAACCACTACAATCACCCCCCCCTTCTTAGGCACACATTGGATATGGCTTACCCATTTGCTATCAGTGATTGGAAATACAATACCTGCATTAAGCCACTTAATCACTTCTTTTCTTACCACTTCTTTCATGATTGGATTTAGGCAGCGTTGGTGCTCTATAATTGGCTTGTGTCCTTCCTCCATGAGGATTTTATGCATGCTGAAGGCTGGAATAATACCTCTAATTACATACATCATCCACCCAATGGCTCGCTTATGCTCATGCGGCACTTTTAAAAACTTTTCTTCATGCAATTTAGATAAGTCAGAGGAAACAATAACAAGTAGAGTGTCAGAGCCACCCAAATAAGCATATTGAAGGTGAGAGGGCAAAGGTTTAAGTTCCAATTTTGGAGCCTCTTCATTTGACGGCTTTGGTGGAGGCCCACTCAGCCTATTTAAGGGCTCAAAGGGGTTTAATCCTTGAATGTAGACACAAGATGCATCAATATGCATCATCTCCTTAACCTCGTCATTAATTTCCAAGCTATCGAACAACATGAGTGCTTTCTCTAGAGAATCGTCTAGATATACATTCTGATCTATCAGTTTCTCATCCACCTCCACAATAGGTATCATAGAGAGCTCCTCATAATGGCAGGGAAGTTTAATCGCCTTGTAGACATTGAACACCGTCTCCTCGTTGTCCACCCTCATAATAATTTTTCCCTCTCTTACTTTAATAATTGCATCACCTGTAGCCAAGAGAGGTCATCCCAATATGATTGGAACTTGTTCATCAGCCTCATAATCTAGGATAATGAAGTCCGTTGGGAAGATGGATTTCCCAATTTGCAGCAACGCATCTTTAATCACTCCCTCAGGGTAAGCTATGGATCTATCATCTAGTTATAACATCACATTGGTTGGTCTTGGATCTCCCAGACCTAATTGCTTGAACATGGACAAGGGCATTCGATTTATGCTCGCCCCCAAATCACAAAGAGCATGACCCACATCAATATTACCACGCACATGGATGGTGAAGCTGGCAGGGTCCTTGAGCTTTTGAAGAAGCTTGTTTTGGACCCTCGAAGTGCACTCCTCAGTAAGTGTGGCTGTCTCGAATTTTAGTCAATATCCTCTCGTGAGGCACTATATTTTTGATGTACTTAGAATATTTTGGAATTTCACGAAGTACATCCACCAATGAAATATTTAATTGAACCTGGCTCAACATAGAGAGAAATTTATTAAACATGCTATCATCATTCTTCTTATGTAACCTTTGGGGGAAAGTTGGTGGTGGCCTTGCAGCACTTAGTGGCTCTAAACTTGCATCATCTTTCTTTGACTTGGGTGTTGCCTTAGAAATCAACTCCCCCTTAGGTATAGGCTTATCTCTTCTCTTCTCTGGTACTTCTTCTAATTCCCTCCCGTTTTTAAGTGTGATTGCATTAACTTGAGGGTTCTTCTCTATATCACTGGGAAGAGCGCCTGCAGGACTAGTATTTTGACTTGACGCTAACTGCCCAACTTTCTCTCAAGATTTTCTGAAATCGGTCCTGAGTTATTGATTGTCAAGTAACAACTTCTTCAATAGGTTATTCGTACTCTCCTCGACTTGCTGGGGTGGCTTCTAAGGTTGACTTTACTTTCCTCGGGGCCTATACAGATTCAAAATCGCCTGATATCCACCCCAGTATAAGTTAGGTTGATTCTTCCAATTTGGGTTGTAAGCGTTCCCATATTGTGCATGCTGATTCATCAGGCCTCTACTATTTTACCCCAAATAATAGATGGATTCAGGATTTGTGGGACATATGTCACTCGTGTGACCTTCACCACATAACTCGCAACAAGTAGACATCTGTTGCACATGTTGCTTCTGTTGCATTTGGTGCATTGTCACTCTATTCATTTGATTTGCTAATTTTGCTATATCTACTTTCATGGCTGAGAAATCATCAAGCTCAATTACACTTGTTGCCTTCTGTTTAAGTGCTCTTCGTGATTCCCCTTCTCCTTGCCAATTATTATCATTAGCAGTAAAATTATTTAGCAGGAGCTAGATTTCACTATAGGGCCTTGACATGCAACTACCTCCACAAATTGAGTCAAGATTCATCTTTGACGTCTCATCTAACCCATCAACAAAAGTGTGACCCAATACCTCATCAGTCTAATAATGATGTGGGTAGTATCTGAGTAGCTTCTTGTATCTTTCCCAAGCTTGAGGAAGAGTCTTGCCATCCCGTTATTGGAACCCAAGAATCTGGCTTCTCAGTGACTTTGTCTTTTTGGTGGGAAAAAACTTGATTAAGAATTTTCTTGCTAGATCATCCCAAGTGTAGATCGCGTTCGTGGGCTCCTTTTGCAACCATTCTATGGCTTCCCCCAGCAATGAAAAAGGGAACAATGTCGGCCTGACATAATCCTTGGAAATGTTTGAAAAGTTGTAAGTATCCGTAATTTCCAGGAAGTTCTGAATATGCCGCTGTAGATCTTCATGAGAAAGACCCACATACTGCCCTGTGGATTGACTCAGCTAGACCATGTACTGTTTGAGTTCAAAATGACCCGTGGAATCAGGCTTCACAATATCCTGAGTCATATTCACAAGATTGGGCCTTGTGGCTTCTATCACCGGTCGCTCTTCATTACCTGCCATCTTTAGTGGTTGTGGTTGAATTACAATGTCCAACTCTCTTTCTGTTCTAGTTCTAGCTTCGAGTTCCCTCCTTACTCTGTGAATTGTTCGTTCTATTTCAGGATCAATAGGAAGGAGGTTGTTCGCGCTTCTACTCCTCCGCATTCAAGAGAAGAGCCCGCGTTAACACAAAAAAGGCAAACTGAAAATTAAAACTTGAAAAAATAACTAATAAAATCTTAACTCAGACAAGTAGCTAATTTCTAAGTCCCCGGCAATGGGGCCAAAAACATGTTGCGACCAAACACACAGGCAAGTATACGTGATCGTTAAGTAATAAAGTAGTGAGTAGAGTATTATTCCCATGGAGACATATGATTAACTTTCGACTAATTCAAACTCAAAGAAATTATCTATTCAAGATATTTTTTCTCAAAATGTGTAATTAATTAATTAACAACCGAAGAAACTACCAAGCAATTAAATAAACTAGAGATCGACTAAAACACGTAGGCAATTGCGGATAAAAATCAATAGTAGAGTATATTCCAGGATCATGGGCTGGCTAACAATCATGTTGCGTTCTCGGCTTAAACTGACTAATTGATTTATCTGGTTTGTTGATTGACAGGGTTTATGTTAGTTGTAAGAATCTGACGAGTTCTTACTCGCCTATTCAAGTTAACTTAATGCCTATATGTCTATTGCATTTACACTTCCTGTATTTCAACCAAGCAAGACAGTTAGGTATATTTTTATCCTAATTGCAAATCTGTACCCCGATGCCCGGGTTCAAGAACTTGCTCTATTTAATTCTATATGCAATCTAGAATTCTCACTTTCGAGTTCAACTCCAGATTCGTAAATAGTATTTCACTGTTAGCTATGCAGCAAAATAATTAAGAACATGATTATATAAATAACCTAATATGATAAAATCAAACTCGTCAATTCAAACTTCAAACGTCAACATTCATGTAGCACCCATGACCCCAGAACTAACGAGTTTAGCCACGCATGCTCATGGTAGCAATCTCAAGTAATCCCCAAGAATACATAAAAATCAATAAAAGAAGGAAAAGATAAGAATTCAAGATGAATTATGTGGTTTCCAAACTCTGGTGATGGTTTTTCTCCGCTTCCCCGTGTGCTAGATGACCTTAAAGAGGCGTTTTTGGCTTATATATTGCGTACAAAAGTCGTGGGACATAGTTTTCCTTTTCCTATTCTGACTCAGCTTCAGGGATTGATGCTAGAGTGGATGCTTTGCGTCCGCCTCAGCTTCAACTTCTCAGCATCACATGCTGGGGTGGATGCTAAGCATCCACCCTCTATTCCTTTATCCCTGTTGTGCCCAGGTGCGGATGCTAAGGCGGATGCCTTCTCCCGACTTCACTGCCAAGGATACACCAAATATACTTTTTTCCTAGATTGGATGCGACGTATTCATCCTCTTCTCCTATAACTGGAGCACCTTTTCTTCATATTTTTGCATTCCAAACATCCTAAATCATCACACACAACTCAGTTAGTAATAAAACCAATAATTAACACATGTTGGGCATTTTAAAGATCAAATAGCACCAAAAAGCGGTTAAAATATGAGTAAAGTAACATTATAACACATAAAAATATGCCAAACATCACCACCCCACACTTAAACCTTTGTTCGTCCTTGAGCAAAGTAGAATCAACCTACAATAGATCGAACAAAATTAAGCTTATCCCTGAGAAGTAGAATCAACTTCTTAGCATCACATGCTGGGGTGGATGCGAAGCATCCACCCTCTGTTCCTTTATTCCTGCTGTGCCCAGGTGCGGATGCTAAGGCGGATGCCTTCTCCCGACTTCACTGCCAAGGATGCACCAAATATACTTTTTTCCTAGGTTGGATGCAACGTATTCATCCTCTTCTCCTATAGATGGAGCACCTTTTCTTCATATTTTTACATTCCAAACATCCTAAATCATCACACACAACTCAATTAGTAATAAAACCAATAATTAACACATGTTGGGCATTTTAAATTTCTAATAGCACCAAAGAAAGGTTAAAACATGAGTAAAGTAACATTATAACACAGAAATATGCCCAACATCATAAAGATAAAGCAATGATGAAGCTGCTAAATTGAAAGTTAAATTGTAAAGTATGAGAGCAAAATAGTAAAGTATAGCTTTTGCGTGCAGAATGTTTTATGTCCTCCACAGGAATGGTCGATCTGATATTTATAGCTATCTTAAGGGGGACAAGCTCCTAAAACCAAGTTTTTCTTGAATGAGAATAAACGTGTCATTGATGAATATATAACGGCACGCTTTGAATGCAAATATTCTCTGTAACGACTGCTCATTCAATGCTATCAGATGGCAAACTTTTGAGCTTCTATCGCCGACTAACCGGACCAACCCATTAATTTAAGGGGTATGGGCCGGGATATACTATTTTGACCCACTGAACCGGACCGAACTCGAACCGGTAGCTGACCCAGAGGTCAACCAGCCCAGACCAACTCAAATATATATTCAGACAAGTGATAAAACATTAAATTCAAACATTGACGAAAGAATATAGTACCAGACACTATGAGACGTCTTTTCGAAATAGTCGAATTTCATATGTTTTAGACTATTAGTTATAGAAATAGTTGAATTCCAAATGTTTCTCAGTTTAATGTAAATAAAGTATGGGTTTTCTTTCATTTTTATTCTGATTTGCTTCAAGGACATGTAGTAATTTCATGTTCGTATATATGTATAAAGTTTGAAATTTTTATCATTTATTAGTTTTTAACTTTTTTAATTAAATTGAATTCGGCCCATTAGGGCTCGGGGTTAAGGGGTTACGGGTATGGGTCCGAGTCGTTGTTTTGATTAATGGGTCAAATTCGGACCGGACCCTATAAGAAAGTGAACCGGCCTAACTCGGTTAAGGACCCACGATCCAAGAGTCAACGGGTTTGGGTTCGGGTCGGGTCGACCTATTTAATAGGTCTACCCGATACCGGTCACACATTTCGCATCTGATATTAGTTATTTCTGACTCGCCCTTTTCCTATCTTCGGTG